CTAGGAGGCCCTGCAAACATCGTACTTTCGGACCTTAACTAAATCATTAACAGTTTTAATACCATTGGCCTCCAATTAAATTTTGATAAATGCGAACTTTCTTCCCTCAATCTTATCCCGACAGGAATACAATCATTCCAAATTTTGTTACTCTTGCCCCCAACATTCGTCTCACCGACAAATCCAAGCTAAGCCTCCTAGGTGCACCTATATTCGATGGCCAATAACCTGCGAGGTGACGTGGTTAATTGAGTCCAGAAACGCCTGGAACCAGGCTTGCCCCAACGAAAATTCTCCGTCCGACCCCAAAATTTAAGGGCTGGGATAATATTCTGTGCAAAGATTTTACGTGACTTAGTGAATCATTGCACCCCAATAGACCGAGCGCGACTGGAAGCGGCGTCCAGGTGGGAATTTGGCCACTGGCTATACGCTTTCCCCTCTGCTATTACCGGTACCTTCCTGAGCGCCGAGACCATTCGCATAGCCGGTCTTCGCCTTGGCGTCCGAGTTTGCTCCCCTCATCGGTGTCCTTGCGGCAAAGACGTAAGTGCTCTGGGTTACCACGGTTTTTGCTGCCAGCTGAGCGCCAATCGTATGCAGCTCTCAACGACATCATCCTCCGGGCCTTAGCCACTGTTAACGTGCCCGCTATTCTCGAGCCAAGCGGCATGTCGCGAACAGACGGCAAACGCCCGGACGGAATGACTCTCATCCCTTGAAGTATGAGCCGGGCACTGGTGTGGGACGCCACATGTGCCGACACACTTGCCCCATTCCATCTCCAGCACTCCAGCAAGAGGGCTGGCTCCACAGCTGAGCTGGCGGTAAGAATAAAAAGTAATAAGTACCAGGACATCGGCTCCGACTACCTATTTACAGCCTTTGGGGTCGAAACCCTTGGCCCGTGGGGTCCCAGCGCCCTTCATCTGCACAAAACTTTATCGAAAAAATTAATAGATTGTCTAGGAAACCCAAGGGCCGGCAGCTACCTTGCCCTTTGTATTGCTATGCTAATGCGTTGGCATTAGAATAGCAATACAAAGGGCGAATGCTGCCAGCATCTTGGGCACCTTGCCGAGGGGACCCAATTTTATTCATACAATTTAAAAATCCTAGTTTTACTTTCTAGTAGTTAAGCTTTTATTGTCTTTATAAAGTTGATTATCATATGATGGTTTCATTATAACAGCAGAATAAAAGACCTTTCCAAAAAAATATCTTACTATGTTTACGAGAATAAGATGATATGTAATTATTATCTTCGCCACTTGTACTATTATAACCCGTAGAATAAAATGATCGATCAAGTCAATGGTGCAATACTTGTTTTCGGCTCAGACACAACGAGAATAAAATGATAGTCCTCAATATAAATCCAACATGATGATTGATTTTGACTAATTATTTATTATTGAAATATCTCCATTTTGGCTTAACTTATGGCTGTTTCGTACGCGCAAAAAATATTCATTCCTTAAAGCTAGCTATCATCTACCTACGTTCAGTATTTAAGAACCTATCAACGAAAACATGCTTTTTATTTTTCCTGAAATATTACTTTGTTGCGATTATCATTTTGTACTTCGTGTGCGGCGATTTGTAAAATTGAACGTTTAAACAACATGGACCAGTAATTCTGAAAAAGGTCATAATTCCGTATTGCATCTAGATGGCGCTGATCAATAGCCTGAAAGTAGTTTATATTGTGTAAATGGTCGTGGATATCAATTAATCCCTCTTTAATATGAAATATCAGTTTTATTCCTTGTAATATTATTCAAATATTTTCAAAAAATAACCAATTTCGTACACAATTGATATTTTTAAATATGACTATTGACCTAATAATACATATTAGAATAGAGAATAGAGATAGGTAGCTAAAACTTATAGTACTATAAACTTTGTCTCAAAACTATGCCTAAGTCGAATCGTCAATGACAAAAGCGATTTGCATAAAAATGCAACAAATACATTATCAAATAATCACAGAGTAATAAAATTTTATCCCCTTAATACCCTTGACGAATCTCAAAAGTAAATTATTTACATACTCGCATATTTAATAATAATAATAATAATAAATTGTTTATTGAATAACTTATTGTACAAAGGAATAACTAAAGACTAATTATGCGTAACATAAATATAACACATATACCTGAACTAGGAGAACCTGTATTTCATGTACAGATAAGTCATTACTTAATGGCAATTTTCATAGCTTTTGACTGTCACGGTGATCCGCGCTGTTTGGCTCTGTGAGCGCTAAATCAGGAGTTTCGGATTCGATTACCGATAGGGCCAAAAGTTGTTTTTCTGTTAAACACCTTTATTACAAATCATTGCATTTTCTTTCACCCCTTAAATTTCTATATTAAACTTACCAGGGCGAAATTGTTACTTAGTAATAACGCCGCATTTATTGTACTTATCTTATTTTGTGATACATTACGGTACTGTGCTGTCATTGTAATGTTTAAACGTGGAACAAAGAATATTTCATTCATTCATTGATTCATTCATTCTCACCATAGACTTCGAGATCCGTACACTTTTTAATTTGTTTTTTTTTGTTGTTTTTTATTTCTGTTAAAACACCCGCATTTATCTGTTAAAACACTCGTATTTTGTTTGTGGATAATGTGATTCTAATCTATTAAAACTATTTATAAATCGATACTTATGTCTTTTGCAATTTGTCGTATAATATCACAACAGCTTTACTTTTGTATTACGTTTAGTTTAGTAAGTTTTTTATACTTATTCTGGTGTAAGTATTCGAGGAAGAGAGGAGTTCTTTTTGTTGCTCTGACACTCAGAGTACACGGATGTCCCAAGTTTGAGATCAAGTAATTAATGTATATCAAGAAGGCGGATGGATTTTTGTTCAAATAATAGACACATGCTTGGCTTGTCAGATGTGAAGCGATGATGTACCCTACGATGGTACGCGCCTTGCCTTAGGTTTAGCCTTAGCCTTGAGCAGCCCTAAATTGTACTTTTGGTAATCCAGATGTCGGTAGAGTATTCAATTCCTTTGCCGTATGCATTAGGAAGGAAGAAGCAAAGCGCTTGGTGGGTTGGGTGGTATATCAACGATACAAGGATGGGAGTGGTTTTGCTTGGACAGCCGGAGAAATTGAGGATGTTGATTAAGATTGTCCTCAATAGGTCCTTTTCCTGCTGGGCAAGAGAACATGAACCTTTTATCTGTTTCTTCACATAAGGAATTTAGAAAATTAAGGTCCGTGGTTTCTGCCTGACTTGCTAACATGTCTGTGTAATTAATTGAAGTTTTTTTAAAGTAAATAAGTGCGCATTTGACTCCGTAACTGACTTGATGTGGTCAACGATGTAGCATGCACAGTTAAAGTCTCGCCTTGACAAGGCCCAAGTTGTAGCGTTCGGGGAATAAGTCTGCAGGCAGGAAATTCCACTCCTTTTGCCGTTCGCCATGTGAATGTGCAAGCGAAACACTTCGGGCGAATCTTTGGAATATCCACAACATAGGCGAAAATGATGGAATGGGGAGGGCGGAATTAAGCCATGCATTCCATCACACACAGGCACCTTTAAGCCTCTTGACACGCTTTTCTAGTGAATCCAGTGTGGGCAGTTGGTATTGCGTTGATATTCTGCCCGCTGACGGACACACAGATAATTGAAATTAGTGTTTCAAGAAGGGGTTCGCGTATTTTTTGTCAGCAGTAGAGTTAACGATACACGGATGTAGAACTACGAAGTTCTCTTGCTGGATTTACCTGTTCATCACAATCTGGTTCACAGGAAGTTCTTTTTGTAAGTATGTAATACATGATAGACACGCGCTTGTGTTAAGTATTAATGCTCACATGGCTGCTTGACGGCAGAAATAGGTTAGGTGGTACTTCCTTCCTTGAATTCTTTCACAAGGAGCAAATAATTTAGGGTCTTTATTCAAAATCGGTGCTCAAGCCCATTGCATTTTCCAACGAACACTGAGTTGGTCTTTTTGTTTTGTTTGTCTTTGTTTACGTGAATAACATGTGTTTTAATTTAATTAATTTTTGTTTTATGATTTTGTTGTCGTGATTTTGTTTTGTAGTAATTTATTTGTGTCTTACGTTTGTATTTTTTGATGACGAGTCTTTTTCTTTGATTTGTTTCTTTTTTCTTTTATTGTGTCATTCAGGTAGTCAAGTTACTTTCTTTCTCAAACTTTCGCGTATTTTTTTCTAATGAATAATGATAAAGATTTTTGCCATAAAAGTCATGCCACGAGTGTATATTCTCTAAATTAATATTTTGTATTTATAACAAGCTTACTCAACTTTACCGTTAAGGTAATGATTAATTGATTTGTATATAAATTGTGTTAACTCGTTTTGAATTTTTTTAAGGTTTGGATTAATTGGTGAGTTAAAAATTCATTAATCATACATATGTACCATCGTGACCGTTTCGGGGGTAGATAGAGACTAATGACCTCCACCAGTAATGCTCCTGATTTATCTCTTTCACTGCCTCCACGGCTGTTTATTCTTATTACTTGTAAACATTAATCAACATATTTTGTATAATATTGTGTTTTCTTTGTAAAAAATACTATTATGCGAATTTAAATGCTCTATTTTGTTTAAATTTGGTTTTATGTAAGTTACATAAAGAATACTAAACTAAAACTAATCTAAAACCTAATTAGAATCAACGCCAATTAATTCTATTTGAACCTGTGAGTAAAAGCCTATCAAAAGTTAAATCTTAGTATAAAACTGTTTTTTATCAGGATCCAATTTTAAAACCAGATGAAATACGACTGTTAATTATCCAAAGACAAATGTACCTTTATAACACTAACCGGCCATCAGAGGCTTAACAAACCGGACATGTCACAAAGAACCTTTGAAGAAGATCGGAGATTCTAAGTTCAAATGTCACCGAGCGTCCTTGCGCCCGCGCCGACTATAAATACCAACTCCCGCAAGCTCAAGACATCAGTCGCTCGCTTGCTTCAGTCCCAGGACAACCAAAACACATCCTATCAAAAATGAAATCGGTACGTTTCCGATAGTGATTTAAACTTTTATAAATTTTCGTGCCATCATCATTTGGATTTATATTTTGTCTTTGTTAGGGTTTCTAATTTAAATCCTTATTATGGTTGGTTAAGTCTAAAGCCTCTTCTAAATTTTAAACTATATTACATGTTCAGTTCTTTTAGACATTCCTCATATCATCAAGTCTATGTATTATATTCTCATACATCAATTTTGTTGAATAACTCTATTGTTATGTAATTTACAGCCCTTCATATTTCTGTTATAATTACCATCATAAACATCATACTTTTTATCTATGTTCATATCGCCTTTTACAGCATTGTTGTTCTTCTTCATATTTTAATATTCTCCAGTCTACAAGCATATTTTAATGTAAATTGTTTATCTTTAGTTTATCGTCTTCGCCCTCATCGTGGCCGCGGCCGTCGCTGCCCCACCCGGTAATCCTGATGCGGACGCTCAAGTCCTCCGCTACGAGAGCGACAACATCGGTGTTGATGGATACAAATTCGCGTAAGTTCACCACAGCTACATCGTATCGCCTAAACCACAGTTGGAAAATAACTGTTTATTTGGTTCGAGATATTTAAATTGATGAGATACCACAAAATAACACATTTGTTTTGTAGTATTCCTTAAAAACTAACCAACTGTATCTTTGACAGTGTTGAGACAAGCAACGGAATCAAGCAGGAAGAGCAAGGTCAGCTGAACAACCCTGGCACTGACAACGAGGCTATCTCTGTCCGTGGACAGTACTCCTACACCGGTCCTGACGGCCAGGTCTACACCGTAGTCTACATCGCTGACGAGAATGGCTTCCAGCCCCAGGGCGCTCACCTCCCCCAGGCCCCTTAAGCTAACATTGTTCACGCAAAATTCTAGTCCAAAAAATACTCATACTCCACCATCTTTACTAGCCTTGTTATGAACGTCACTGTTCAAGCGATTCTGTGATACCAATCCCGAATTGAATGTTGTTGAATAAACATTTAATGTTTTAGTAAAATGTTTTTTTGTGATTTTTATTACTTTAAGTGGACAATTCAAAATAATGTATATGCTATCGCGCATGAGGAGATCAAAAACACTTAACTAATTGACGAAAGTCACAACAGTGAAATTGAAATCAGTTTACTATATTTCAATTGCTACATTGGTACGCAAAACAATAATAAATTATTAATGATGCATGTATAATAATATCTTAGGAAATACGAATGTTACACAAAATGGCTGACATTTAATGTTTTTACACATGATTGACGAGCTTCACGAATTTGCATACGACCTAAATCGAAGATTTCATGGATTAGAGCTATTAAATATGATATACAAAATAAACGTGCCAGAAACGGGATAGACAAGTAAAAACCAAACGATTCCGCACGCCAATTTGTTCTACCCATCTATAATAAACGTTTCTGACGCATCTGAACTTTTTATATTACCGCGTCTAATTATTCAAGGTTTAACACACGATTAGCAGGATGCAATTATAGAACTGGTGATAATTATGTCAAAAGTTCCAAAAATTAAAGCAAATTTCAATCAAAATGTTTAAAATGGATGAGATAAATATATCGTATCGTGATATAAGAGGTATAATAAAAATTTAATGACAGGGTAGAGCCGTGCGTGTCTACTGTCAGAATATAACTAAATAGCGGTTCATTATAATTTATGATAACGTGGATTTTAGTCAGGTAACGTAAAAAGATGAAATTTCTATATAATTTTTGAAGTTTATATCATGTTTTTTATTAATTTTTGTGAAATGACTCCACTAGTTTGTTATAATTATTAATAAAAATCGAAGACTTACAAAAAGTGTCTTCGAATCGACTGGATTCGAATGAACGTCTTCCGGCAAACCGAGTTAGACGCTAAGCCAACTAAGCCACAATACGAACTCGTGGATAAAGCATTCGCCATTCCGGTCTATTTTAATGTAAAATAAGTTTCATTTAGTACTTTCATTGCGTCCTTTATTTTAATTTGTTTGTACTCAAATAATTTATTGATAAATTTCTTTGGTATTGTTGTCCTGTACTTCTGAATGGTGACAAGGAAACATTGATTACCTGCGAGACAGGCTTAGCTTAGTGCAGGAATCAAGAGCAATTCTCTGTAATTCTCTAGTGTTGCATATTTATTACATAAAATTCATTCATGCATCATCCCTACATGCACAATTTTGTTGCCAAATTTTTTTTTTATTTATTTATTATGATAGCAAGTGACGGGACGAATAAGTCGTGCTCGTGGTGGTAAGCTACACGCCTGTCCATAACAGTTGTAGTGCCATTCAGAGCTGTAAATCACAAAGATCTGAGGGGCACTGCTACTGCGCCCGTCACCCTGAGACATAAGTTGACAAGTCCCATGTGCCTGTAATTTCACCAACACCTTTACCCTTCATAACCGGAACATATTGTGTTCCCACATTACTGCTTGACGGCTGAACATATTTCAGTCTGTCTGCTAGTCGAGCCTGTGTGTAAGTCTTCAATGTGTTGCAATAGGGGATGAAAGTTTGTATGGAGAACCAACAAAACTATGAAAGTTAGTATAGTACAACAGGCTACGGGAAATTCTTATTCTACGCAGATACCAGCTTGTATTGTATATAGAGTTAGGGATACCAGCTTGTATTATATAAGATTAAGATTCAGATAGATAAATGTTTTCGTTAATATAGGTTTATGATCTACGACATCGTTTGGATAAATCTGAGGTTTGGTATAAAAAGTGCCTAACTCCACATTATGCACAAAATATGGGCCCTAATAGTATATTTTCATCTCGCTTATGCGTTGAACACGCCCAGTTAAAACAGAAGGTTAGAATAATAAAATTTGTTTTAAAAGTGCCAGTTAACGCCAACCGGAGATAAACATGTAAATCTATTTAAATTTAAACGTAAAACTAGTCTGACCTTAACAGAAGACGAGCTTGTCGCTTATTTTAATTTGGATGTTTTCATCCTTGACTTCCTAGATTTAAATGTTGATTAAAAAGTCATGAATCGTGGATTACTTTGGTCACATACTATGTATTTTCTGTTCTGCCAGTTTTTTTTAGTTTCCACCTTGGATAACTTTGCTAGTTAATCATGCAAGATATTATTGACACAAATTTCAAACAAACGCAAAGAAAAATTCCATCGTCCCGACCGGACTCGAATCAGCGTCTGTTTGCCACACCGGGGCTACCACTCTTCCATCTTCAATATTCAATAAAATAATAGTTTTTTATGCAATCGTTGCATAATGGGGGTTCTTAAAGTCGAGTACCGTGTTTAGGTCACGAGGCCTCGGCAAGGCCGATATTTTAAGACCTAATTACGATTAAATACAATACTTATTCTACGAGTAAATAAAATAATGAAACATAACCAATATTTAACGTATATTTTGTTCCACGACACATAACACAACAATGTATGACAACAAAGTCAATTTTTTTAAATATACTTTCACCAATTTATTGGGGTAAGCTAATGAGAAAGAATAGAAGTGGCCAAGTACCGCGTATATTTAAGCAATATTTTAATTAGCAAAAACACGACGTTCTTTTTATAAAACTCATTATAATTCTGTGTACAGAACTATAATACTCGTTATGGTACTGTGTACAGAACTATAATGAAATTTTTCAGCTCGGTGGCGAGTGTCACGGACAATAGAACTTTGATTCTATATTAAAAAGAGCGCCTTTGTGATATGGTTTATGAAATTATAATTGATAGATAAATACAGGAATAGAAAAATTTATTTTAATTTATTTACTGGAAATAAAAGTATTTTTCCGGATTTAAATCGCGTATATATTTTTTTTCAAACAAACCAACGTTTCTTAACACCGATCTTTATACCGGGTTGTATAAGATAGTCAATATTATAACGGTGCGCCAACTTTTCACTCTTCATAGGATTTTAAAACAATACACTTCAATCATATTCTATTGTTCCCAAGTGAATTTTGACAAAAATTAAATAACTCCGTTAACCGAAACGAACCAGCGGATCTCACGAATTTTTCTATGTGCTTGTTGTTGCATCCTTGTACTAGTATAATAGTTTCATATATTTTTCATAGAAATACAAATACCCGACAAACATGCACATAGAAAAAGTACGGTGAGGAAGTACGGTGGTTCGTTCTGTGGTTTAGTTGGCATAGGCATTTTTAAGTGTTCGATCTTTGCATTAATAATTATAATATTTATATATATTTTAATTGAATTAAAATTTATTTTAAACGTTAGATTAACATTACGTATTGTTTCCATATCAATGAAATGCTGTTTAATATTATGTCGATTTCTTTGAAACAACTTACGACATCAGCATGTATTACGAGTACATTATGCATTTTGGCACAGGTTTTCCTAAAACAATGATTCGCACAAGCGTTTGTAGAAATCTGCTTTTGCGCAATCTTCTGCTAAACGATTAGTTAGATTAGAATGTAAATAAGACGCTAAACTCATGACTGGTTTACACGTATTAAGTGACGAAGTAATTAACTTAATTTATATGTGTAAACAATCACTTAATAACCTTATTTTTTATGATACAAGTGATAGGACGAACTAGTCCGAAAAGTGCTACTTGAAGGGTACCGCCGCCATCGCGCCCGTCGCCATGAGACATAAGTTGACTAGTCCCGTGTGCCGTGTGTTTATTTCACCAGCACCTTTGCCCTTCAAATCAGGAACACAGTAATGCTTATATTATTAGTGTTTTGCAGTAAAATAAAAAATGGTCTTTATATAATCATCTAAGTCGTTGCTAATATAATAATACTAAATCGTTTATAATCCACATATAAGTGGATAAGTAGATTAGAATCAAACCTATGTTTTGACGAAGTGGAACACCCCCGCACTCGGCGCATTCTCTAGGTAGGCGTGACTCGAAGTTTGAAACGTTTCATAGGCATGCAAAATGTCATAATACAGCTTCACTAAGGCTTGATTCATAAAACGCAGACGCTACGCGACGCGGCGCGGGCTGCATTCAGCGAGCAATGCAAGATAAACTTTATCCTCAACAAAATAAGGCAACATTTCATTAAACAAACAAATAAAAACGAAGATGCAGTAACTGACGGCGGGCTGCAGAGAGCTGGGGTAGGCGCACTTTTTAAAATGCAATATGCTATAGAACATATTCTCCACTTTCTTCAAACAACAAAAAACAGAAGAGTAAAGCCGTGCTGCGTCGCCTACGGCAGGTAACGGTCGGCGACGCAGCGTGAAGTCACTAAGCGTCGGCGACTTGTTCCGCCTCCAGCAATGCAAAGTGTAACTTAGCTCCTCAACAATAAGGTATATTTTTTTGAAAGGCATATTGCGTGGTAGATGCGTATAGAATTTCATATTTACTTAACAAAGTCGATATTTCTTTGAAAGCAAAGCAAAAAGCAACGCTGCGTCGCCCTGCGCCGTCGACCGTCGCCTACCGTCGCCGATGCAGCGCGGCTTTTCTCTTTTGATAGAAGCAATATATACTTTATTCAGTAGATAATATGTTCTATATTATAATGCATATTATAAAGAGCAGATTATAAAGAGAGTGTAGCTCGACGACTCCCGCGGCCGCTTGCTGCCGCCTCTACTGTGGTCGTGTTTAAGAAATTTGTAGATTATTGATGCAAATAATATTGCATGGATGAGAAAGCCCCGGGTTTCATTACCGGTAGAACCAATTTCGGAAATGTACTTTTCGAAAGTGTTTTTGTACTAGGTGTTGTGGGTAGTGCCGCGGAGTGACTTTGTAGCTATTGGTTCAGGGTTCGACTCCACGTATAACCAATTTTGAAAATGAACTTTTTCTAAAGTGTTTTTGGCCGCCTAGGTATTTTGGACAGTGCTGTGGAGCGAACTTGGTAGTCTTATGTTCCGAGTTCAACTCCCGGTAGAACCAATTTTGAAATGAACTTTTCTGAAGTGTTTTTTGAAATTG